TGTGTGTGTGTGTGTAAGGTGTGAACGGGTGGGGCGGGGGCGTGGAGGGATTTTTTTTTACATGAAAGATTTTAGCTTTTAAATTGCCGGGTGACTAAGCAAAATATAGGTTACTGCTAAGGTCGAGTAATCTTTTTTTTCCTTTAGTATCTTTTGAAGGCATTTTCAAATGAGGTATAGTCCAGGAACGTTGCCCCAACCACAACTGAAGTATCTGAATATTCAGCTCTAGAAATTGAATTTGATGCAAAAAATGCTTCTTCCCAGTCTTAGCAGAATGGCAGAATGAAAGGATGACGCCTAAATCTCGCAAATAACCCAAAAAATCTCGAGATCGGACACCATTCGGAGAAAAAGAGTTCAACTTTATTTTCCCGAACGTTCTGAGAAATAGTCACTTTGAAAACTAACATCCTTCATGTAAACAAAGAAAATCCCTCCACGCACCCCACTCCACGCCCCGTTCACACCTTACACATACATACACATGCACACTCACTCACACAGTCACACACATACACACGCACACACACACTCACTCACTCACACACACACACACGCACTCACTCACACACACAAACACAACACATATATGCATACACACACACACATACACACACTCACTCACACACACATTCTTCACATCCGGCCACTCCATTCGCAATTATTATCAACAATTCTAGAGAACGGAAACCATTCGGAGAAATAGAGTTCAAGTTTATTTAGTATTTTTTTACTTTCCCTCCCGTCTCACACTTGGTTACCAGTTGTCCATTTTCTACTAAATATTGAAGCGCTGAACACAAATATCAATTTACTTTCCGTCGCAAATATAAACAGTTTTTTAAATATATATGATTGTTCTTTATATATCTAGAGATCGTGCTTCTGACCAATCGGGGGTGGGGGGGGTTCTAGGGGGGCCTGCCCCTACTGAGGTAAAAGAAAATCTGGGGAGTTTTAACCCATTAATTGATATTTTATGGTTAGATTTGAAATTTTCTTTGATATATATATATATGCGACAGTTCAATAGTGGCCGTCGAGTCCGAATAACATTTTCTCAATTCGGACTCGAGTCCGAATAAGTATGTTATTCGGACACGGGTCCGGAAAAAAAGGAAGTGTCTTCGTTCTATAGATCTAACGTTCAGTGCTTCCAATTTTCCGCCATTTTTTAGTTTCCCTCGCACCTTGTCTGCCTATCCGATGCCCGCCGCCTCATTGATACCCCCCCCCCCCACCCCCCATGTTTCCCACTTTCTTTGTTGTAGAAAAAGGTAAAATTGAAGATTAGCAGATCTCCTGGCACCTGCATATTATGAGCTGTGTAAAAAAAAAAAGACAGATTCGTTCAAATATACACAAGCCTGTGTCATCTCGATTGTTTACACCAAGAAAAAGTTGTGTTGCTGTGTAGAGCCGAGCATACGGCAACTTTTGATTCCATAGACCAGCGCTCAATTCATTACGTAGATCTAGGTCAAGACTAGCTTATTATTGTAATGATCAGTTGCCGGGGGTGGGGGACTGACGAGTATGCGACGTTCAACGCCCGGACCGATAGCGCGCCCACCCCCCCCCTTCCCCGACACGTACACACAGCCACACGTGTGCAGGCCGCCCATCCGACCCCGACACACGGTAACGAGCCATCTTTAATTGCTTCTGATGACCTCTTGACACATAAACATTTATTAGAAGCGCTCTAAATTTTCAGGCCAGCCTCAAATTCATCATAAGATAAAAACTCGGCTCCGGCACAATTTAACGCCATTTTGCCCAAGCCCAAAGTGATCCCGGTCTCTACCCAGCCTGAGGCGAGTCACGAGTGAGGCAGGACAGGAAGCCGGAGTCACGAGTCACTGGAAGTCGTAAGTGATGTCATGCTGGACAAGAATCAGAGTCTGAATAACATTTTTTCATTATATTCAATTCGGACTCAAGTCCGAATAGTCACTTCGTAAATAGTGGCTTGTTTATGATGTGTGATCTGCAGCTAACAATACGCAGTTTGACCCCCGAAGCAGTGCATCAGTGTGCGGGAGTGAAAGTAAAAATTTACCTGCGTAATCTAAATCTAAGTTTACTTAAGAGTAAAATAGCAATAGCCTAATCCATGGATGTAATTATGGTCCAAACCTGGCACAAGCAAGCGCAACCAAAGCAGCTGCAGCATTTTCTTGATGTTTCTTATCCTGAGCGCAGTGGACTGCTCCTGAAGATTCGGATTGTTCTCCAAGCCATCCACAAAGCAAGGATTCCAAGCCATTTAGACAATCTCCAGGTTCTTTCGCTAGACTTAGGGGTGGACAATCACGCAAACAGGTGAGAATCACACCAGACGTCACTGCACATAGCTCGGGGTCAGTTTTACTTTGAGACTGAAGCAAAGGCAAGATGAGAAGAAGGCTGATACGGGTTGAAAAGGAGGCTTGATCAGACTCTTTCAGCAAGCCTTGCTTTTTTAGAAGGGCTATAGCATCGTCTTGTGATGTCGGCTCCCGGTCTCCTTGGTCTTCTCTGTTGAAGGAATTGTGAGCTTTCCACAGCCCCCTCAGTGCATTCAGCCGATACTCCAACAAGGTGCTGAAAGAATTATTCCTCGTCCCACAAATTTCCAGCAATTTTGCACTTAACTCCTCCGGGTCTTTGGAATCAAAAGAAACAACTTCATTGTCTCTAGAACCACAATTCTCAACGTCTTTTGGCAGTTCCACCAAATCAGTCACCCGTAACAAGCCGTCATGCAAAAATAACGTCTCCTCTGTTACTGAAAGCCACTGGGAGTTTTCGCTGCTCGACGAAGCCATACTCTGGCAATTTGCGCTGGAAAAGGCAGAATCACCTTCAATATTACTTAAATCTAACATTTAATGAAAATTCCAGCCTTGATTCTTTTAACTGCAACATAGTTCGCTGAACAGGTAATCAGCTTCGTAAAATAACAAAACAGCTTTATTTTTAGTGTCTGAAGCGACCCAATCAACAGACTGGACCAATGACAAACAACAAAATTTTACTTCCGTTGACCTTTGCCAGGCTTTTGTTAGAGAGTATGTTTTGGAAAACAGTAAAAACTTCGGTGCCAAGCTTTAGAAGAATCAAACCTTAATTAATTTGTTTTACATAATGCTCATATCTCCATTCTAATGCAAGGTCTTACTAAGATATCCATTCTCCATAACAATGAAAGGCATGATCTAGATTTCTAATACTCAAAATACAACAATCTTTATTATCCTTTACAATGTACTGGTCACAGTATTCGGTAACTCTGTGCAGGCAGTAAAAAAATGTAATTTATACGGTTATGTCCCTTTGATCGATAGCGTGCAATATCATGCAATGTCGGTATCTTTTTAATATTTTATTAATACGAATATTACTTCTTACTTACTCTCTCCCTGTACCGTCAGGTACATGAGGCGGAGAGCAGTCGACGCCACGCTTGTCTGTCTGGGGCCACTTTCTCCAATTTCGGCACATCTAGGCCCTGGGCGATTGCCCCATCTCTTACCGTTCCTTTATAGCTTCCAGTTGGTCTTCCCTGCTTTCTCTTTTTAGTTGGTTTCCAATGCCATGTTAGCGAATACATACAGATTAAAAGAGGAGTCAGACAAGGGTGTGTACTTTCTCCAGACTTGTCCTCCCTGTATAGTGAAAATATCAGGAGACACATAGAAAAAATGTCTGGTATCTCGATAGGGGGACACAATATAAACAATCTAAGATATGCAGATGACACAGTCCTAGTAGCAAAAGATGAAGAACACCTGCAGAATATATTAAATGTCATCGTACAAGAGAATGACAACATATTCTTAAGCCTAAACATCAAGAAAACCGAAACGATGGTGATAAGCAGAAAAACTCCAACCCCAACATGCAATATCAAAATCAATGATACCACCCTCAAGCAAGTACAAGATTTTAAATATTTGGGGACCATTATATCATCAGATGGTAGATGTCACACCGAAATTAAAAGCCGCATTTGCCAAGCAAAAGCAACCTTCCACAATATGAAACAGATACTAACACACATTCTGTCACTGGAAACGAGAAAAGGAGTAATGAAAAGTTAAATCGAGCCAATCCTATTATACGGGTGCGAAGCGTGGACAATCAATAAACAGCTGGAAAGAACAATTGTAGCAACAGAGTTGTGGTTCATAAGACGCATGCTACGTATCCCATGGACAGCTAGAAAAACAAATGAAGAAGTCCTGGTTGAAGCAAATTATAGAAGACAACGTATCACGAATATAAGAAAACGATAGGCAAATTTCTTCGGACACACAATGCGGAAAGAAGCATTAGAGAATATTGTAACAACAGGAAAGTTTGATGGGAAGAGAGGCAGAGGCAGACAGAGGGAAAAGATACTGGACAAGATGACAACATGGCTGGGAGCAGCAAGAACAACAGACACCATTGCTGCAGCGCAGGACAGGGTGAAGTGGAGGTCCATGATCGCCCACGCCAGTCGGCAAGGCACCGGATGATGATGATGAATGCCATGTCTGATATTGCAATCTCATCTTCGGCATTCTCAGAAAATGTCCCAGATATCCCCACCTTCTCTTTTTTCTATTGTTGTGTTGATATCTTCAATTCCAGTTCTTTCCAACACTTCATTATTTGTAATAAATTCATTCCATTTTATTAGTAAAACTCTTCGTAGACATTTTGTTTGGGAGCTTTTTGATTTTTGTTAAATTGTATTATGTTCCATATCTCTGAACCATACCTCAATACATTTTTTTTGTCTTCAAAGAAATTATATTTGACATCCATGTCGTTTTTAATTTCACAAAAGAGATCCATGCATTTTTAAGCCTTTACTTTAGGTCTGATTGATTCTTATCATATTGTAGACCTAGAGTTATTTATAACTTGGGGCGAGAAAATTTGATTTTAAAAATTCGACTGGGCCGTTCACCCATTCAAACCTAATTCTGTGAAGCGGGAAAGAACCCGTGCATGTGCACGAGGACGTGATAGATCTAGGTAAAAATAAAAAGAAGTGTGCATAAATGTGAAAGACATAATTATCATAGATGCGACTGCTGAAGAAAAAAAGAGAGAGAAGAGACAAAGATAAAGAGAACAAGTGGTCGGGGTCTATCTTGCAAAGCACAAGGTAGGCCTACGTGTGCTAAAAATGCATAGGCCTATTATTATACATCATACATACATACTAGTAATGTAATTATTAAGTGGGCATATTTCGGCCTACGGCCTACATTTACATAATATATACCATTTTACTTGTGATTTCCCTAGTTCGAACTAAAATGTATATGTACATATAAGATTATGTATCAGACTTTAGGGAAACATTTAACTCTAGCAACTGAAATAGTCAGCAGAAAACAATTAAAGGCTGTGACGAATTTGTAGAAACCTTCTATTGAAGGTGACTATTCACCACCACTTTAATTTTGCAAAACTGCGCCTGTGGTGTTTTGATAACGATTCCCCTGTGGGGACGGTTGGGGGTTTAATTTTTTTTTATATTTTTTTTTTTTT